CTATTTTTTCCACTGAGACCAACAATGGGACACCACTTCTTCCATTGAAAACAATGATGGTGTACTATTCTTTCCACTAATACCAAGGATGGGGCACTACTGCTCCTACTGACCAATAACCTTGAGGCCATGTTTATTCTCACTGATGCTGGGGCTAGAACATTTTCTATCCTCACTGGCCCTAATCTGGCCCTTCTAAAGTCTGAAGGACCATATACTGGCCCTTTGTTTCAAAAGTTTGGACACCCCTGATCTAGAGACTAATTATTCTGGAGGGAGTACAGTCCAGGATCTGTATTTTTGTGTACATAGAGAAGGATGTTTGCCCTCAAGTTGTTCTTTCAAGTCAAGTGGGAATCCCACAATCTCTCATCCCCATCTATGTTGTTTTCCCTCTCAATAAAACAACTAAAATAAGCCCATGGACTGGATTTTTGACTATGTGTGCCTGCTGAAAAAGTGTGTTGCCTGGCTGTGCAGGGATAGGGGGACCCAAAAATCTAGCAGCTAAGGGGGTAGCTCTACACATGTTTGGGTGCCATAATTCTTAATGCTACCCCAAATATGGTGCAATTTTGCCACGATTGTCATACCACAGAATCATATGGAAATCATAGCAAACCACACCTTTAAAAATTGTGTGAAGCTTGTTGCTCAAAAAGGAGGAGGAGCTTCTTTTGAGCAACAAACATGCATAGAAGTGAATGGACTGCCCTACGCTCCACTCACAGAAATGTGAAAATTTGTGAAATTTGGGGCTTTAGGGTTCCAGCAGCAAGAATCTGCAGATTCCTGTGTTTGGTATGACAGGTGTATGCGACAAGCTGTAGCCATCCAGCCTGTACAAAGCAATGACAGGCTGGCAGTAGCTATACATGACTGTTCACACAGCCAACAATTACCTGCAGTGATTGTGGTTGGTTGCATTTCATCCTTCATTACAGGGAAGTAATGTGACTAAAACTGTAGGCATTTTTTTTACCTAAAATGTATCTTTAGATAGTAATGGTTAGAATAATAAGAATAACAAAATCAGCAGAAAAAAAATGCTAAGGGGAATTAGAGTAAACTATGGGTTAAAAGAGGTTAAAGAGGTACATATTTATTAAAAAAAAACACTTTTTTTTTTTAACTTGTCAGGTTACTTTAACTGACTTTTTTGGTGTGGTTATAGACACTATGGGGTTTATTTACTAAACCTGGTTGACTCAGAATCTTGTCCACTTCTGCATAAAAACCAATCAGCTTCCAGGTTTTACTGAACATGCTGAGGTTAGAAGCTGATTGGCTACCATGCACAGGTGCCCAAGATTCTGAGTCAACCAGGTTTAGTAAATAAATCCCTATGTGACAAAGTCCATTTTTTTGACAGCAGCAGCTGTGAATAGTTAATAGTTTTCAATGTGATTTTTTTTTTACTTCATCTTTTGAACATAAAGAGGTATTAAAAACCAAAACCAAAAATATATTATATAGCAGCTTACCAATCATTAGATGTGCTGACTGCATCAGTATTCTTTTTTTTAACTTTGTTTCCCTCTGTTTTCAACTGGGGATCTGGCCAGTAACACACCTCCAGTACTAGCGAGACCCCACTCTGAGGAGGACACAACAGATAGCAGCAATGTCAGTCTGGGGAGGGGGGGGGGTGTTAAATGTATTAGCACATTTCAATACCATAACAAGTTGAAGCCAAACTCCAGCTCACAATTTATAATCAGTAACAGCAAATAGTTTTTTTTCTTTGGGATAAAGGTTTTACATGAATAAATGGATTGTCTTATCCATGTAAACTGATACATTCTGCTGGAGAACTTGAGTTTCTGTAAAACAGCAAACTTGCTGGCTGCACCACCAGATAAAAATAGAAGGAAAACCTAGCAAAAGAAAACTAAGGCCCGGTTCACACTAATGATTTCATTAGTTTCATTAGTTTCATTTCATTTGAATGGGCTGCTGTGCCTGCATTTCACGTAAGGAAAAGGTACATGCACCTTTTCCAAAACACATCCTCTGCGAAATCACATGGGAAAAAAATATAGAAAAATCTACATCTAAAGTCCTGTGTAAGGACCACATTTTATTTTATACTGCGCACATGCAAAAGTTTGTGATAACATGTACAGGGTTATAGCATTCAGCGCAAATGTACTCTATTGGCACCATCTACATCCTAGCAACAGAAGAATGCTAGGCAGCACAGAAGAATATGCCCAGGTTTGGTTCAAGGGGGTTTAGTGAATCCAGCTTGAAATCGTAGAAACCCAAGCTTAGCACCAAACCCCAATGAAGTCTACAAGAGGTGAATATTAGTACTATATTGTGTAATACTACAATTTTCAAGTCTACATTGAAAATACACAAACCCTTTAAATAACATGCTTGGGGATACTTTAAAGTTGCACATGGTGTTATGGAACAGTACGATTTTCACAGACATTGGTACATTGGCAGCATATAACTTGGGTTCCATACAGCAGCAGCACCCCAATCAGATTAATTTAACTTTGAATATAGTTATTTAAAAAAAAAAGGGAAAAATTGTATTTTCTAACCAGACCCTTATCCAGGCATGCAACCTTGTCGGTCAGAAAAGCGAAGGCAGAGAGAATGTGCCCTTTCTTTGTCTACCATTCATTGCTTTTCAATACTTGGGATGGGAAAGGGGGGGGGGGGGTAGCATTATGAGGGAGGACTGCAAAGCCCCGTTTTCAGAAAACAAAAACCTTCCAATAATATGTTATATGCAATTTTTTTCCACATCAGCCCACCTAGGAATATGTCCGAGCTCGCCAGGCATTATACTTGTGCATTCTGCTAAGCTGGGGGGTTATTATAACACAAGCCTGCCACACTGCTGTGTTATTATTGCAAAGGCTTTCCATGCTATGGGGTTATTGCTGTGCAAGCCTACCTCACTGTGAAGATTAGCATTATGGCAGCCCATATGGTGTTATCACAGGAAGAGCCCACCCGGGGATGATTATTGCATTAGCTTGTCAGGGCTTCTTTGGATACACTAGTCCACACAGGATTTTGGGACGTATTCATCATGGACATAATTATATTATTGATCTTTAGCACAATTTTTGTGAGCCTTACTGCTAGCTTCCCTCACGGACTCACCATGGTAAGTCTTAAGGTTGCTAAGGTGGTCCTCGTCTCCCACACAGCAGGTATGTGAGCGTACATGATACATTGCAGTGCTTTTAGGTAAATGCTGTTTAAAGTAGTTGTAAATGCAAGTTATCATAAATTCATAACTAAATCGTTAAATATGTAGTTATAAACAATCCATTTTTGTAATTGTGAAGATTTCTTTCGTACCTTTTTTAATGTACAGGTCACGTAATCGTTTTTCCTTGCTTAGCAGATCACGCACCTGCAGTTGGGCATTTCCAAATCAAAAGGCATGTATGTCAATTCTGCAACTGAGCATCAGCGTTTCCAAGGGAATGAAACGCAAGTACATACTGTACATCGGATGTGCATAAACCATTCACTGCAAGCCTGGCTGTGGAACACAGTGTCAATCAACAGAGGAGGGATGGGCAGGGAGGCGTGGCCACACTCTGACCACGAAAGATACAGGCATGCTGAGCGCTTGTACAGCCTGTCTGTATCTCAGAACAACATGACAGAGAAAACGTAAACTGACCACGCTAGTACAGATTGGCTAGCGTTGACAGCTTTCAACCTGGAATTTGAAAACTGGCAGGATCAACCATGTAACCAGAAGAATAAATGGACCAAATAATATAGTAATTTAAAAAGCAATGATGAAATACCTAAAGAAACAGATATAATACATTTTATTTTTGTGTTTACAAATAATTTTACTGGCTTGCTGATCAACAACCCCTCTTCTCCACAAGAACGAATAACTTTTGTAAGCTTCAGTGCACGCTTCCAGTACTGACTTGCCTAAGAGCTGATTCATACATGTGCAGTGCAGATTGAGGCTCAGGTTTCACAGCTAATTGATACAGTATTTGTTCTGCGGTTCATGTTAGGTTTACATCAGGTTCAGGACAGGATTAGGACAGTATTTTAACCTATTCACACATATGCAGTTTAGAAACGGTTCCCATAGAAGCAGGGGCGGACTGACAACTTATGGGGCCCCCGGACAATAGGGGATCATGGGGCCCTTGTGTCCTTGCTAAACTCAAAAAAGCCTATGAAAAAGGTACCAGGGGCATCTCATGGGGCCCCCTACTGACCCCGGGCCTTTGGGCACTGCCCAAGTTTCCAAATGGTCAGTCTGCCCCTGGGGTTGACTTCTGCCCAGTGTCTTTGTTAAATGTTCTCCTTATATATTCCTTATCATCTGCCTAACCTGTGAATGCTTGTTCTCCTTTCCTGATTCTCGATTTCTAATTCTGGTGAAATGCCTAGACTTCTAAAATTCTGCTACTGACCTTGGTATATTCTCCTGACCTGAACGTGAAGATGTTTGTTGGCTGTAACTGGCATTGTGAGTAATAAAAAAAAAGCTCCATGGTATTTTCTATTCTAGTTGTCGAGGTGAGAAGCTATTTAATCCCTATCCTACCGGGCACTTATACCCCCTTCCTGCCCAGGCCAATTTCCAGCTTTCAGCGCTGTCGCACTTTGAATGACAATTGCGCGGTCATGCAACACTGTACCCATATGAAATTTTTATCATTTTATTGAGACAGATAGAGCTTTCTTTTGGTGGTATTTAATCACCTCTATTTTTTCTTAAACAAACCAAAAAGCACTGAAAATTTTGAAAAAAAAACATTTTTTCTTAGTTTTTGTTATACAATTTTGTAAATAAGTGATTTTTCTCTTTCACTGATGTGCGCTAACGAGGCTGCAGTGATGGGCACTGATAGGCTGCACTGATGGACACTGATAGGTGGCACTGATGGGCACTGATGAGGAGGCACTGGTAGGTTGCACAGATGGGCATTGACAGGCATCACTGATGGGCACTGAAAGGCAGCACTGATACATGACATTGATATATGTCACTGATAGGCGACTGGCACTGATAGGCGCACTGACTGGCACTGATAGGCGTCACTGACTGGCACTGTTAGGTGGCACTGACTGGCACTGATAGGCGGCACTGATTGGCAGCACTGATAGGTGGCACTGATTGGCATTGATAGGTGGCACTGACTGGCACTGATGGGTGACACTGAAAGGCAGCTCAGATGGGCACTGATGTGGCATTTATGTGCACTGGTAGGCACTGATATGTGGCATTGATGTGGCACTGATGGGCACTGGCACTGATGAGCACTGACTGACTGCTGGTACTGATGGACACTGACAGGTGGCATTTCTGGGGCCACACTGATCATCAGTGCCCTGATGATCAGTGTATATGTCCCCTTCGCGGAAAGCCGATTACCGGCTCTCCTCTCGAGCTGTCAGCGTGACAGCTCGAGAGGAGAGAAATGCCGATAACCGGCATTTCCATGTTTACATGTGATCAGCTGTGATTGGACACAGCTGATCACATGACCGAGCCGACATCTTCGGCTCTTTCCGTGATCCGCTGTGTCCAAGGGACACAGCACACCGGCGATCGCCGTGCTGCGCACTCCCTGAGCCACGCATGCGCGGTGAGAATGGAAGGATGTCATATGATGTCCTCTCAGAACGAGAGAGCCACATTGCGCCTGTCATTGTACTATATGGCGGGCGGAAGGTGGTTAAATGGTTCCAGCAGATGCTAGAGAGGCAGTCATTAATATAGAAAATGTTTACACTTTACAATGATGAGCTTTTAAGGAGTTTACTAAACACCTGATTTGAATGAAAACATGCTGACGAAGGACCCAGACTACAGATTAATGCTGGCCATATGTGGATCAAAATTCAGACAGGTCATCATGGACTGGCCAAGATTGGAAATATGTATGGGCAGGCTGATTGTTCCCAACTTGATCCATAGATCGAAATTTGGTATGACCAGCTTGTCAGATTTTTCTACATGCGATTACTGCCAGTATCTATAGCCCCGAGCAGTAATCATTCTATTCCACAGATTGGGAAGGCTACCCCTTGACCCCTCCCCCCCACTGGCAGGAAACTATAGCACTGTGGAAGACATTCCGCCATCAACACTAACTGTGTTGATGGGGAAATCAAGAGATTTTATTCCCTTTGTGAAGGAAAGAAAACTGCATCATCTATGGGTTAAAAGGATTTTTTTGCGCTGAGATGAGCTTGAAATGTGTTCCTTTAGTATCTTTGAAAATACACAAATAAAACATGAGAAACAGATAAGGAGAATAAAAAGGAGGTATTATTAAGCAAGAACAATCCATAAATGGGTTAAAGCCCACCTCCAGTAAAACTAAAACCCCTCCCTTGCAGGGGGCTGCACCCACACTGCAAGTGTTAAATGCTTTTTTCTGTCTTGAGGGCAGTAAAAGCATTTCACTTACCAGAACCTGCACTCCCCCAGCAGACACATGATACTACAGTGGACTGTTCCTTAGCAACTTCACGTTAAGTGCAGGGCTATATAGAAAAGGTTGCAGGTGGTCAGTCCATCTGTCAGGGATCTCAAGGTCCACCGCGGCGCACGGGTCTGCGTATGCGCGGAATACCAATGTACACCAGCATGCGGGCGCTAGGACATAGGTGACTGCGGCAACAATTGCGGCCGCGCATGCGCACTTGCGCACACGGACGCACGCCTGGCACCAATGACAGCGCAGGGCGCACTATTTAAATCGACCCCTTGCAATGCTCAAATTGCCGTAAGGTCTTGTTCCTGTTCTTCCTACTCATTCTGTTCCTGAGATTGCCTTGTTGCCGACCTAGCCTGACCCTGATTGCTGTTGACTGTCTCCTGCCCTGACCCCTGGCTCGTCTTGACTTCTCTTCTACCTGTTCCTGATTATCTGACCTCCTGCTGCTGAACCTGGCCCGTGACCCGATTACTCTCTGCCTACTGCTCTGTACCGTTTCGCCTCCGCTGTTACCGAACCTGGCCTGCCTGACTTCGCTATCTCTCCACGGTGTCATCCGTCCATTCATCCTGCACGGATCCATCCGTACTTCCCAGATCTGCTCTGCCCCTTCACAGCAGGCTCTTATCCGCTATGTGCCACTGGCAGTTACCTCTACCGCAGCTGTACTGTGCTCAGGGGCCGCGACCGGGTCTCAGCCTGCTCCAAGTCCATCCCCACCATCAGGGGCTCTGGTGAATAAGCAGACTGAGGCTTAGACTCCGTGCCCTGGGGAATCATGGCCTGTGGATCCCTAGAGTCACTGCCAGTCGGTACCTGACATTGAATGTATACAAGCAGTCAATTGTAGTGCATGCGCAGCCCTACTGCAAAAGAGGAGTTTTTGTTTTCCTGGAGTCCAGCTTTAAGGTGCTTACAAAAGGGAAAAATACTGATGCGTGTATGAACAAAACTTTTTGTTTAGCTTTGGATAGTGTAGGGAAGTGTAGGGAAGGATTAAAATAAAGTTCCACTTGAGAAAAAAAAAAATAAAAGTCAGCAGCTACAAAAACTGTAGCTGCTGACTTTTAAAATACAACCATTTACCTGTTCCTCGGTCCAGCGGTATCCTCACCACGGCTGGTTTCACCGGCCATCTTCTCTCCCTGGCGCCGGCATCTTCAGTGTGGGCACCCAGCTGTGACAGCTTGTGGCTTCACAGCTGGGTGCCCACTGCGCATGCGCGACAAGCGCTGCACTTTGTGAATGGCCCTGTAGTCTTATGGGACCTGTCACGTATCCCAAAAGTCTACGGGGAGGGAGGGGGGAGGACAACTTCCGCTTCTGATCCCCTAGGCAATCGCAGCAGAAGTGGGAGCGAGTACCTGTCAAATTTGGGTACCCCCCCTACTCCCCAAAGGTGCCAATCCTTAATGGGGAGCGGGGGACAAAGGCTTAAAGCAGAACTTCCCTTTTTGGGTAAAGCTCCACTTTAAGATCCTTATCAGGTTTTGCTTTATTTCTATTTCAAATGAATATACTTTCTTTCACATCCTGTCCTGAAAATGCAACAGGAAGTTAGATGAACCTCCAAGGAGAGGATAACCTTCTTAGACAACTGTCACTTTAACAGGTGTTCCCATTCAAAAACTTACCCTTTTTCATGTTCTATTGACAACTGTAATATAGTGTATATCCCATAACATTCTGTCTGTGACATTGGTTACCAATATAAATTGAGTAAGTTGAGGGGTTTTGCTTTACATAACCTTTAAACCAGAAAAGTGAGAAAATGTAAAATGTGCAAAACACTTTCAAACCTAACCACAGCTTTCCTATCTTTTTTATGTATATAACATAAATACCATACCTATAAAATAATAGAGTAATAAAAAATGTTTTTAAAAAGCAATAAAAATGCAAAGTGTATTTTCAAATACCTGGTTACTAAAATATGTCGGTATGTTGCACTTTTGCCATTATGTAACTCCCAATGTTTCCAAATACTTTTTATGAATTCTCTTCTTACTGTTTTATTACATGCCCTTTTGTTACTATTAATGTCTGTAATTCTTATGGAAGTATTAAAACCAAACCTCAGTGCCCACAAGGCTGCATGCTTACAACCAATTAGCCTGTTCTATACCACCATTTTTGTGATCTTAATATTTCTGTGCACAGCTTCCAGCCTGCTCTGTGAATTAATCATTGGCTTCCTGCGCTGAGTTCAAAGAAAATTACAGTTCATTGTTCTCATTTGTTAATCAATTAATCCTCCTAGCACTCTACACTGTTATATAGACTAGCAGAGACCCATGGAGTGTCATTTATGTTATGGTGTATTTCAAATGAAATTCGACTTTTCATGTCATTTCACCAAGATCACAGAGCAGAATGCCAACCCTGATATAATTAGACCAAATCTTTATCTTAATTTTGTGTTTTCTAAAGACCCTTTTCTACACACATGGCTTTTCATGAAATTAAATATTTTAAAAAAATATATTTCCTTACAGCATATTTTATATTTAAATATCTAAATTTTTCTAATCTTTAAAGTGTGGCTGTAATGTAGTTCTTTAATACATCCATCAAGAGCATCAAAAAAATTTGACCAGCAAGCATCTTACCTTTGCCTGTTCCATCCCTGTGCCCAGAGAGCTGTCATCCTGTGCCCGGAGAGCTGTCATCCTGTGCCTGGAGAGCTGTCATCCTGTGCCCAGGCCAGTGTAAATGTTGTTTTTGCTGTCTGATATTGCAGACAGTTTGCTTGAGGTGATTGTAGCCGTATTAGTGCACTTGTGACAGAAACAATTGAGTACTGTTCGTGATACTTTTTTTATTTGCACTAACATACAATTTTCAGGACAAGCTTTCGGGGGAATGTCCCCTTCTTCAAGGTCCAAGTAGTACTACTTCACAAAGTTTTAGCAGAATGTTAAAAGAAACAATCTCTGAAGGGAAAAAAAAACAAAACAGAAAGAAAACACACAAACAAATGTACACAACAATGGTTATAAAACTAGGATTAGACTAGAGATAATACAGAGCAAAAGCAAAGACGGGGGGGGGGGGGGGGGGGGGGGGGGGGGGGGGGGGGGTTGGTATGACGGTCACAGAGGGGGATAATGAGTGAGGAATCCCATGTCTAAATTAACCGCTTGCCGTCCGCCCTATAGCAGTAATACTGCTACAGGGTGTCACGGGTGTGCAAAAGCACGCATATATACGTGATTTCGAATTTCTGAGTACGAGGCGTGTGTGCAGCCTCGGCTGTCAATCACTGGGTCCTGGCCGATGATTACTCACCGCACCCGATGATCGAGGAGGATTATAAACGGAGGGAGAGAACTGTAAGTAAACAATATAGTTCTCTCCCGTCAGTTCCTGCACACTGCTATGCATGGCTTTGCATAAGAGAGCCATATATAGCAGTATGCTTACAGTGAAGCACACACACACAACGCACAGCAAAACAGAACACAAGCACACAGTTAACCCTTTGATTTCCCCAGATGTTAACCCCTTCCTGCCCAGTGCCATTAGTACAGTGTCAGTGCTTTTTATTAGCACTGATCACTGTATTGGTGTTACTGGGGATGTCAATGACAGCAAATCAGTTCCCCCCAGTGTCAGAATGCCCGCTGCAGTCCCACTATAAGTCGCTGATCACCGCCATTACTAGTAAAAATAAAATGTAAAAATCCCTTATATATACCGCCTTTTGTAAACGTTATAGCTTTCATGTAAACCAATTAATTTACACATATTGGGATTTTTTTTTCGTAAAGACATGTAGCAGAATACATTTTGGCCTAAATTTATGATGAAATTTGATTTTTTAAAGTTTTTCTGCTGGACATGTTTAATAGAAAAAAAAGTCAAAAATATTGTTTTTTTCTCAAAATGGGAATAAAAGGACGTAATTTGGGTGCAGCATTGCATGACCATTTTGTCAGTTAAAGTAATGCAGTGCCATAACGCAAAAAATGGCCTGGTCAGGAAGGGGGGGGTAAATCCTCTGGAGGGCAAGTGGTTAAAGCCTTTATCTTTTGTATCACATAGAAATATCATTCTTACTTCA